TTTAAGAACTAGAGGAAGGTTTTGGGTTTCATTATTGTTATACTGAACCCTAAGTGACTCATCTCCCCACTACCCCTCTGCAAGGTATGTCCAGTTGTCTAGAGATGGGCATTGGGTCCCCATAAAATAGACCTGATTTTTAACATAAACATACTTAAAATAAGATGTTATATTGACTTTTTGACCAACATATTGTGTCCACGGGTTTTCAGAAATTGAAGCCAGTATTCCCTATATAGAAATGGTTTAGTATTCTCTAATTTAGTGTTCCTGGAAACCTTAAAGAACACAGACACCAGAAATAATGAAACTCAACTGTACTTATTTTGAACAAAAAGGTATATACCTCATGCAAGCGTTGGGATAATTAACTCCATATAGCCTCAGAATTTGTTAATTTTAATTATTTATCAATTATGCTACAGAAAATTAATAGCTACTTCAGTGGGAATCCAACCATTTACATAGCAAAGGAAGAAAAGCAAAGGCATTACAATGTTCTGTATGCGTTGCCTACGGGTAAATGAGACTGCTTAGAGAGCAGAGCCTTTTCCACAAAGATGAGATTAAGCAAATGATTAGGGCCTGTAGTTCACAAAAATTTTTAGCACTGACTATATTTATGGTTTATTTGTGATTTCCCACAGGATTTCTTTAAACTGGTGAAGTCTTATCACTGGATGGGACTGGTGCAAACTTCAACAAATGGATCCTGGCAGTGGCACGATGGATCTTTTCTATCACATAACCAGTAAGTTTCTGGCTCCGAAGCATTTATCTTTGTGCACATATTTCTTAATTGTCTCCAGGTTCACTTACATTTCACATTTTTCACACATCCCCAGAATATTCTTATAGTCAGAAAAATTAGAGCTTTAGTTTATAAAAAAGAGTTCAGAAAAGCAACAAAGCCAGTAATAATGGATTTCGTGAATTTTTTCTGCATGCTAAGTACTGTACAACGTAGGTATGGTTTACCTACCTACCGGTGAGAAGTCTGAAACAGGTAAAGTATTGTGTATGTATTGTGAGTTGTTGCTAAGTGCAGTCCAGTCATTGACAACTCGGAGTGACCCTCTGCACAAGAGGAGGTCACACTACCAGTCCGGCCTCATCATTGCTCTCAAGTTGGAGTCCATTGTTGCAGCCACTCCATCCGTCCATCTTGCTGAGAGTCTCCCTATTTTTCTCCACCGTCTACTTTATCAAGCACAATGTCTTTGAACTTTATTGAGATATAACTGATGTACAATAAATGATACATCTTTAAAGTGTGCAATTTGAACATTCAACAACTGGGTACACCTCAACATAATCAAGACACGTGACATACTAAACTTGCCCATCACAGCCCACCAGGTAGCCTCTACACCACCCAGGCGCCTCCATTATTATAGAACTCATGAATATTGCCTTTATGTGTGTTTTGAAATGAGGACAGCTTCTGAAAATCAATTATCTTGAAAATTTTCCACCCTATAAAAATTAATGTCCTTATGTAAACAAGGTTTATTGCTAGTCCTTTTAGATACAGATATCATCAGAAAATTGTGTGTGTCAATTTCAAATCGAAGTGGAGTCATTACTCTTCCTGTGCATTTTATTTCTTATGCATTCCTACAGAAAACAAATCTTTCTTTTAACCCTTTATCTCCAAATTACTCAAGATTTCAGAGTAAAACACATACTTACAAATACACACATGCTTATATGTGTGTATATACGTAAGTGTATACACTATTATATTCGAGAATTCTACGATTTATTTTTCTATTGTTACCAAGTGAAATTGCATATATTTGAAGATTGCTTTATTTTTGCAAAAAACAAAAGCAAAACGAAACAAAACCATGGTATGCATGTGGATGCTAAGTCACAGTTTGTTTCATTTATAATCAACTATTTGTGTTTAAATGAACATTTATAGCTTTCGCTCAAGTATATACATCCAGAAATTTCAGAGCTTCTGAATTCACTTATTTCCAAAATATAAGAAAATAAGTATAAAGACACATAACCTAAGATATAATCCAATATATTGCTTTTACCAGAAGAATAAGTTCTATTCTGCATGGATGAAAATTATGAAGGGGTTGGTGTAAGACATGAAAAATTTTTATAACTGATCAAGGGTTCATGAGTGAGGGAGGGTGGGGGAGGGGAAATGAGCTGATACTAAGGGCTCAAGTAGAAAGAAAATGTTTGGAAAATAGCGATGGAAATGTATGTACAAATGTGCTTGACACAATGGATGGATTGTGATAAGGGCTGTAAGAGTCCCCAATAAAATTATTTTTTATGAAAAGAGAATTAAGAAGGGTCTAACATGAACAAAAATCTCATGAATTTTTTGTTATTTATCTATCTATATTTTAAATGCAATAAAGATTATCAAATTTTTATATCCTTGTCTCAATAAAGTAATAAATAGAATTTGTTCTTCTCTCCAATGTAGACTAACAATAGTTGAAATGCAAAAAGGCACGTGTGCAGTCTATGGCTCAAACTTTAAAGGCTATACAGAAAACTGTTCAGTTCTCAACACGTACATCTGTATGCAGAGGATTGTGTAAGGTGTTTAATATTTACAAGCTACTAAGTTTAAGTAACAGAAGTAATTCTTGGATGTTTTCTATGAATTTTTTGTAAAGCAAATAAAATAACCAATGTTTATTAAATTATCTATTTATGTGTCATCCCAAAGAATGTAACTTTAATGTTAGGTGAGTTTAGCAGTTATAGAATTTATATTCTATAATAAAATATGATTGTATGTTTTGTTTGCTTTTGAAAATTATTGATAAATAAAGAGATTCATGTTTAAATTAATAAGCTATTGAAGATGCCCATGACTGATCTAAATTTTAACATATGATGTTTAAAAAATGTATAACATTGTAATATGAACAGGCTTTTAGGAGCTTTCAAAACCCTAAGTGTGATAGTTACCTAATTCCGTGTCACCTTGACAGTATTATGAGTGAAGGGGTCAAGTCTAGCCTGTCAGTCGGGTCACAGCCAATGATGTCTCTCTGTGGATATGACCTTCTCATAAGGGTTCTAGGAACTTCCTCTTTTTCCTCTGGAGGTGGGTCACACACTCTCTCTGTCTTGGTCTTCCTGCTGGCAAGCCACATGCAGCCAAACTGATAGCAGCCAGAGCCCCGAGAGACTTCTACCACCACTGGATCCACAAGACTTTTCACCCACTGGCCTGTGATCTTCCAGTATTTTGGCATCATTGCATGTGTTGCATGAGTCTGAAGAAAAGTTTATAGATTAGTATCGGACATTTGGGCTAATGTCGGACTTATGGACTTGGTCTGGACTGGGTTAGGATGGTTTCTTAATATGCAATTACTCTGATATAAAGCTATCTCTTACAAATATATGAATGTCCTGGATTTGTTTCTCTGGTCAACCCGGTGTAACACACTAAGCACTTGAAATGTAAATGAATTTGCAACTGGTGGAGAGTATATTATTGATGTCTGGGGGTTGTGTTGAGCCAATTCAAATCATGGTGACCCCATGTGACAGAGGAGAACTGCTCCACAGAGTTCTCCAGGCTGACATCTTTCCAGAAGCCAGTGTCCAGGTCATTAAAATTTGGAGTTCTGAGCGGGGTTTTGAACCACCAATGTTTTGGTTAGCAGCCAAGTGGTTAACTGTTGGACCACCAGGATTCAATGGGGGTGTATTATGGTACAATATCATGTATTTCATATCCAAAAACATTCCTAGTAAAAATTAGGAATCTACTAATTTTAATTAAAATTTAATTAATCTACTAAAAACTCCTTCAAAGTTTTGAAAGTCATTATTAATTTAATACAGCACATTCTATGTTTTTAAGAAGTTGCATTATTTCTTATATTAAGTTAGCAATCTGTCTGTAGTAAACTCATCTGTAGTAATTAATAAGCATTGATTACTACATATAATTAAAAGTAGAAAGTTTGACGAGACCTTATAAAGATTATGGAAATAAATTACAGTATAACACTGATGAAACACACATCATTCTTCTAGTTCCTGAAAGCTTAACCCCCACTCACCCACCCACTACCATGATTCAGTTCTACCTTACAAATCTGGCTAGACTGGAGAAAACACATTGGTACAGATAAGAGCTTTTGACAGATGGAATTCAGGACAGATAAAACCCTTAGGAACAGTAGTGGGAGTAGCAATACCATGAGAGTAGGGAGATGGGGGGCTGGGAGGAAGGAGAGAAAGGAGGAGCCCAGGTTGGAGATTTAGCTCACTCCCCAGGGGGATGAATAACAGAAATGTGGGTGAAGGAAGACAATGGACAGTGTAAGGCATGAAATAACAACAGTAATATATAATTGATCAAGGATTTATGAAGGTGGGAGGGGAGGGGAAAACAGGAGCTTACACCAAGGCTCAAGTAGAAAATGATTTGAAAATGACGAGGGCACCATACGTACAAATATGTTTGATACAATTGATGTGTGATGGATACAAGAGTGGTCTTCTATGCAATTTCAGAATCTGATGATTTCTTATCACCTCAGATGTGTTGATAGTTAATCCTAAAACTTTGATTTCTGGGAAAAATTTTAGTCAACTTTCATCTATGAAGGATATTTTTACTGGATGTAAAATACTCATACGGTTGGGTTGTTATTTTTGTTCACTATTTTTAAAATGCAATGCCAGAGCATTTTTGCTTTGTTTTCTGTGAAATCTTGCCTAAATCACAATCTGTATGCATACAAAACATTTTTCTCTGACAAACTGAACATGTAGATGCAAATGTCCAAATAGACAGGAACTAAATTTGTGAAGGTTCTCCATGTCTCACAACAATGAAGTAAGATTCCATCATCACAAAATAGTGTAAAGGGTAAAGCAAAAATGGCGGACAGGGCAATACAAGGCAGCAGAACAAGAAACCAGCAGCAGCCTCTTCGACTAGAGCAGTGGTCCTTAACCTGTGGGTCGCGACCCCTTTTGGGGGTTGAACGACCGTTTTATAGAGGTCGCAAAATGACAGTTATGAAGTAGCAACGAAAATAATTTTATGGTTGGTGGGGGTCACCGCAACCTGAGGTGCTGGATGAAAGGGTCACATGAGGAAGGTTGAGACCCACTACTCTAGAGGAACTCCTCAGGAACTTCTGGATCCAGTTGCCATAGAAACGAGTCCAGGGATACCATGGTGCAGCCTTCAATGTGTTTCTATCAGTGACTCCAAGAAGTTCTAACATACTGTCCAGGTAAGCCCACGCGTGCCCAACCCCAACTTCCACTGGCCACTCCCACCGCTCCTCACCTTGGCAGACCGTTTGTTTCCTTAAGAACCCAACTCCACTATCATCAACCTCCATTGTTTGTGTGACAAAATGTCCAGTCACTTAAGAGTTCAAGCTCACAGCGGTACAGACGGGAATTGGGAACGCAGGGAATCTAGGACAGAGGAACCTCTCAGGACCAGGGGTGACAGTGGCGATACCAGGAGGGAAAGGGGATGTAGTAAGGGGGAATGGATCACAGGGAGCTACGTGTGGCCTCCTCTCTGGGGGACGGGCAGCGGAGGGGTGGGTGAAGGGAGACGCCGGACAGTGTAATATAAGATACAATAATAATTTATAAATTATTAGGGGTGCATGGGGGAGAGGGGAGGAGGAAGGGAAGGGGAAGGGGGGAAAACGGAAAATTAGAGGCTAGCGAATTTTGGGAATGATGAGGGCAACAAATGTATAGATTTGCTTTACACAATTGATCTATGTATTGTGATGAATTGTATGAGCCCCAATTAAAAAAAAAAAAGAGTTCAAGCTCTATAAGTCAATTCATGTTCTGTGATTCAAAGCTGGTCTATACTCGTAGAATTTCCCTTTTTCAGGTGTTTTTTCATATTGTGCTGCTAATGGAAGGGTACTGAGTTTAAAAACGCCAGCCAGCTCCAAATAGGAAGGATGTGACTTCCTACTCCAGTGAAGATTTGCAGACTCAAAAACTTCCCGGGGCAGTTCTACCCCCCCATGCAAGGTCCTTATGAGTTAGCTTTGACTTGATGGCCATAGAAGTGTGCCCCAATGGGGATGATTGATAAAGTGCTCCAACATAAAATGACAATGACACCTCTAAGGTTAACCCAAAACATATATAAGCCATAGATGTATGAATGGATTTGGGGCTTTGACTTTTTATTAGCCCTAATCAAAGGACAATTTATTTTAATGATATGAACTTTATGCTTGTCCTCAAACATCACTAAAGATATGAGTTCTACAGCAAAGTGTGGTGAAGAAAGTAGATGATGCCTGGCTATCAAAAAGAATAGCATGGAGGTCTTAGAGTTGGCTTTCAAACAAGCAGCCATCTACGTGAGGCATCGACACGTGGAAGCAGCAGCCTGTGTGATCCTGCACAATTATTTCCATAGCACGAGCACTCTGAGAGCAGAAGGTATGCATTAATAATTGCATGATTCCTATTTTAACTTATTAGGCTCCTTTGTGCAAGTTCCCAGCACTTAACTTTTACATAAAACTGAGTATTTTATGTTTAATATATTCTAGATCAAAAAGAACATTTTAACTATTTTAAGCCTCAAAAATAATTTCAGTACTTGAAAAGTTCATAGCTATTCCATGTATTTATTACTAATATGCAAGCTACTAGAATATACTTTGTATGCTTCCTTATTGGAATATTTGGTTTTACTCCAAATCTCTTTCCATATTGATGTTGTGTTACTTTCCAGTGCTTCCATTGCTCTCATTTCTAAATGACGTCATAATGATGTTCAGTGTAGTCAAATCTGTTCTAACGTGCCTAACTATCATCTACATAACTATCCATTGACTGATCAATTACTCTGTTGATCAGTCTGAATACATGCATACTTTCTTATCATCTGCCTTCCAATCTTTGTATTCAACATATTTTCATCCTATTTTCCTGATTGGCATATGATTTTGTACCAATTATTCAAGATTTTATAAAGCAGAATTTTGATTATAATATATTTAAAATTACAAGCACCATTTTTTTCAAAGAAAATGCCAGATTTTACAGATTATGCATTTCCCACAGTAAAAAAATACAAAATTGTTGATACAAAAATCTGAATTTAAGAATTTTTGGTGAAACTTGGTTTAAGGTCAAGCCAGATTATAAGGAGAAAGAAATAAATGTATGTTAATGGCTTTTTCTCTCTAGCCTATAAGAGAAAGTAATGTGTGAGTACAATATATGAGAACAATAACTTCCTGGATTCAACTCATTGTTATATGTTCAAGAGAAATAAGAATACATATCAATAAATGGCATGTTCAGGAAAAATCAAAAATGTTTAAAGGAGTTTTACTCAAAATATAACACTTCAAACAACCAAACAACCAACATAACTGAGAATAAATTACTTGCCAAAGTGTTATGTATTCATAAAATTAAATTCTATGTGAGCAAAGTAAAACCTCCAGATATAATTCTGAATGAATGAACATAGACACAAAGCGTACACACTGTGTGATTTCTCTTATATGATGCTGTTGCAGTCATTTACCTGATATGATTCTTCTACCCATTATCTTTGTATTTCCCACTAAATGACTGGGTGGAACCATGCAGATTAATTTTAGTTCCTATTTTCCTATTGCGTTTGGGAAAGAGAAGATAGAAGAAGATTCTAATAGGATAATATGATTCAATTG